AGCAGAGCAGCAGAGTAGCGGTGAAGTAGAAATAGGGGTTCTCGTCGGTCAACCTGCAGCAGATTCAACAGAAACAAAAATTGAGGAAGGGGAATCAGTTCTTCAACCGGAAGAAGTTCTCGATTAGGAAATTGCAACCACAAAGTTACCTCTTACTCGCTTCATTCCTGGCCAACTCGACTAATCATCAGCGTTTTCTCCTTTCATCGTTTCTCCATTTTATACTAACGTTGATGTTTATCTCCGATCAACATGACACAATGAAACAGAAGATATTTGGCATCAAAGGTCAGGACATCCTTCATCGGGAATACTTAACCATACTATCCGAGCTTCAGTTCTTGACAAAAATAGTTTACCCTTACTGGATGGAACTGGGATGAAGCCGTCGTCAAGACCAGCAGTCCTGCACCACGTGCACAACTGCAAATCTTCCGCATGAACCCTTTCCAAGTCACTTTACAGGTTCAACTCGATACACACTTTTGCAGAAAGCTTACAGCGACATCCTCAACTTACACTGAGGGAAAAAACCGTCCGGATGTTTGGCACTAAGTTGGGTTTTTAGGCTTTGAGACTACTGTATGGTTAACCTGCAAGATGCACCGGTGGTACATGTTGGGAGAGGCACAAATTGGATGCGTTCACTGCACTGAGAACTAGATTAGTACATTGGATCTAACTCATACTCCAAAAGATATACAACGAGTACATCCGGACAGTTTTTTCCCAGGACAAAGAGCAAACTTCCGAACAACGTTTCTAGTACCTAGTCCACCTACTCTTGGCGTTGATCACCATCCACACCCTCCTAGGCATGTTATCTATGTGGTTAGTGCAGACCTTTGCATGAAGCTTCTCGCACTCTTCCTTGACCCACCATTTTGCATAAGGGGGTGAGCACAAGGAAAATTGCGAAGTATTTGAGCGTATGCATAAGTATTGTGCACGAATTCAGATTGAATGTAATCTCTGAGACTAGCCAAGCCGAGGGGTGTCCAAAGATGCCATTAGTTAAATGGTCCCGGCTTATCATGGGTCGTCTTCGTCGTATCGTTCTAGGGTAAAATCACGAATAGGTGGCAAAATCTAGCATTCCCGCCACGAATCTTAGGGTAACAGAGCACGGTCGACTGAACATCCTTTCACTGTGTGAACCATGTTAAAATACGCGGGTCTAGTGACGGGGCAGCAGTCGAAGAAACCTCGACTGTTTGGGAAGAATATCTGGATTGAGGTCTGGTGAGAAAAAGGGTCACTCCAGCGCAACATACTTATGCTCTCCAAGGCATTCCATGTCATTTTCCCTGCCTAGGCTTGGAATGGCTCGGAGAGCATGGATATGTAGCTCTGGAGTGCCCCTCTTCCTCACCAGACCTCAACCCTGATATTCTTCCCAAACAGTCGAGACTTCTTCAACTGATGCACTGTCACTAGACTCGCGGATTTTAACATGATTCTAACAATGAAAGGATGCTCAATCGACCGTGCTCTGTTACCCTAAGTTTCGTGGCGGGTATGCTAGATTTTGCCACTCTATACGTGATTTCACCCTACTCCGATTCGACGAAAACAACCCATGATAAGCCAAGACCATTCAACTAATGGCATCTTTGGACACCCTTCGGCTTGGCTAGTCTCAGAGATTACATTCAATCTGAATTCGTGCACAATACTTATGCATACGCTCAAATACTTCGCAATTTTCCTTGTGCTCACCCCCTTATGCAAAATGGTGGGTCAAGGAAGAGTGCGAGAAGCTTCATGCAAAGGTCTGCACTAACCACATAGATAACATGCCTAGGAGGGTGTGGATGGTGATCAACGCCAAGAGTAGGTGGACTAGGTACTAGAAAACGTTGTTAGGAAGTTTGCTCTTTGTCCTGGGAAAAAACTGTCCGGATGTACTCGTTGTATATCTTTTGGAGTATGAGTTAGATCCAATGTACTAATCTAGTTCTCAGTGCAGTGAACGCATCCACTTTGTGCCTCTCCCAACGTGTACCACCGTGCATCTTGCAGGTTTACCATACAGTAGTCTCAAAGCCTAAAAACCCAACTTAGTGCCAAACATCCGGACGGTTTTTTTCCCTCAGTGTACCTAAAGCAGGACCCAAGGGGGAGTTATATATGATCTCTTTCATAGAGGCTTCTACTCGATATGTCTGGACGACGAACATCCCGGCTCGGCATATGGCTCACTCTATCTTCGTCGCGTGGGCTCGCGGTGGCTGAAAGAGAATCGGGGAGAAAAGTTACAGGAGTTTCAGAGTGACAGAGGAGGAGAGTGCACAAACACAAACTTCACCCGACTACCTTCAAACCCTAGGCATCAAGCGCAGAACATCTCTGCTGGCATCAGCACCAACAAATGGGGGTAGCAGAAAGGAAATGAACAGGACATTGCAAGAAAAGATGCGAGTCTTGCTGATTCAGGCAGCATTGCCACCACAATTTTTGGACTTACGCTTTGGACCATCCAGTTCTTCTACACAATTTGCTGTCAACAACTTCACTTCCGCAATTTTCTTCGCCACACCCTATAGTGGACAAAAAGCATCGCAACACCAAACTTTTAAAAGTTTTCGGGTGCATCGTTCAATATCGACCTCCGACAGCAGCACTCGGAAATTTTTCAGAACGGGCTAAGTGGGGGATACATCTTGGCATCGAGAAGCAGTTTTACGCGTGGAAAATTATGGATCTTCGCACGAGTCAAATCGTACCAGCACGTGACTGTCTTTTCTACGAACGACTCACCTTACCTGCTTTTCGTGCTCACCAAGCTGCAGCTGCCAATCCTACCAGGCTATTCGAAAGGATCGCATGCCTTCGCCTCCGACGACGCCGAAGCAGATGTACAGGATGAGTCCGTGGCTAAGTACTCCGAGGCTGCCACAGACATCCCCGTGCCAACCACGTCAGCCGGAATTGCTGAATTTATCCCACTCAGCGAATCAGACTCAAAGGATGTTCGCGATGTGGTTCTTGATTACGAACGCGATCGTCAGCAGCAGCCCATGCCAGCTGTCTCCGAAGCAGCGATCTGTGTAACACCTGAAGAAGTTGGGGGGGAACAGGGATCAGAACACAACTTCTCCGGTGTCAACTCAAATCGTCTGCGTTTTAACAGAAACTGGTTCACAAGTATTGGGACTTGCAGTCGCATTACAGGCAAACAGCAGTAAAACAGTTCGTCAAGCTTTGACAAGTCAACACCGAGAGAAATGGCGCGAAGCCATGGACTGAGAGTTAGCAGCTCTGGAAAACAGAGGTACCTGGGATTCAATTCCGCTGACAGTAACAAAGGGGAGTAAAGCTTTTACCAGAATATGGGTTTTCCGCGTGAAGACAAATGCCGATGGTTCCTTCGAAAAGTTCAAGGCGCGATGGGTCGTCCGCTGCTTCAAGCAAACATTTGGACTCGACTACAAATTAACTTACGCTCCGTCGGCCGACACACTAGAAAAATCTCTCTACGGCATCAAACAGGCTCCATGAGTGTGATAGCAGTATCTACATCGACAGCTGTTAACCGCCAGGCTTCGTCAGCTTCCACACGACCAGGGAATGTAGCTGCTTACAGATGGTACTTGTTAAATTATATATTGAGTTATATAATTGTTAGGCTTGGTAGGTTACTGAACTTTACTGTAGAGGGTACAATCCCCTCCTTGTATGCCTCTCTCTTTCTATTCCAACCCCCTTTTCTCTCCTCAACTTTTCTCCTTCCTAAACCTCACACCACTCCATGGCTCCTCCTAGCTAAACCTCATGCCTTTCCTAGCTTCCTAGCTAAGCTAGCCTTTTAACATGCTATCAGAGAAGGAGGTCCTCCCTGCTGGACCGCCTCCTCACGCTTCCGCCGCGTACTCCTCACCCTCGTTCGCTCGCGCGGCCATGGCGGCCGCGTTTTGCTGCAGTGGCGGCGTCGTGATGCCGCTGGCCGCGGTCGTGCCGCGGCCGTCTCGACGCGCTGCCGTGGTGTCGGGCCGTCGTGCTGCCAGTGTCGACGTCCCGCCGCGGCGTCGACGCCGCTCTGTGACGGCGTCGACGCCGCTCTGTGACGGCGTCGTCGGGCTGCAGCCGGCCGCGCGACGCCTGTGGCGCCGCTAGACCGCCCGCCCGCATGCCAGCCTGTGGCGCCCCCCCCCCCCCCCCCTCCTTCCCCTGTGTCCTCTTCCTTTCCGCAGACGACGGCTGACTCCCGCGGGCCGTCCCACCGTCGCGGGGCCTGGCCACGTCACCGAGAGGTGCGGGCGCCGCCGCCGCCGCCGCTGTTGTCGCTTGCGTCGGGGCCACGCAGCCGCACGCACGCCGCCGCCCGCCGCTGTCGACACTGCCGCCGGTGCCGCCGTCGCCGCCGCAGCCCCTGCGGTCGACGTCGCCGCCTCATGCGCCGAGGGGTCGACCGAGCTAGTGTCGCTGTCACTGTGGCTGGAATGGGGGTGCTAGGTTAGGGGGTGTGGGGGTGTGTGTGGGCTTGTGACTACCAAGCCTAGGGGGTGTGTTAAACTATATATTGAGTTATATGATTGTTAGGCTTGGCAGGTTACCGAACTTTACTGTAGAGGGTACAATCCCCTCCTTGTATGCCTCTCTCTTTCTATTCCAACCCCCTTTTCTCTCCTCAACTTTTCTCCTTCCTAAACCTCACACCACTCCATGGCTCCTCCTAGCTAAACCTCATGCCTTTCCTAGCTTCCTAGCTAAGCTAGCCTTTTAACAGTACTGACTACATTCTACTCGTCGCCTACTTCGATAACTTACTAGATATCAGCACTACGGATTCTCTCGTTACTATCTTCGAACAGAAACTCCAAGAGAATCTACAGATTACTATCGCTCCTACAGTCACACAGTTTCTCGGACTTAACATCCACCGAACAGCAACTGCTATTCATCTTACAGCTTGAACGTACGCAGCTACGCTAGCCGCACGTTTTAATCTCACAGCTTCAACACTAACCACTCTTAACCGATCTCAACGTTATATCATAACGTAATATCTCAATTGTAACAAATGAATGGCAAGGAAAAGGAGGGAAAAACAAGTGGAAACCACGAGGGAAAAAAATGAAACAAAAAGATAACCCATATATGTCATGTCATGGGCCTTTTTGTTTCAGATGCGTCCTTTTCCGCCTTTCAAGTCATCTTCTAGTACCTTTCCCTCCCTGTCTCGCTTTAACGATCCTCTCCCTCTCTGCTGTGGTGCAGCCGTAGAAGCGGCTGCTGCTGCCAGTGCCACAACACCACCCAACTCATCAAAACCTTGATGATAGTTCTCACCAAGGTGTGAATCTCTTGGTTGAGGAATCGGTCCATGAGACGCGGCGAAATGGCACGGACGGCAGGGACGTCGTAGATGGGAAGGCAATGGAGGGTAGGGACAGGAAAGCAGGTGGTGGCGCAAGGTGTGAGAAGGAGGGCGTGAGCAGGTTTGGCGTTACGGTTGTGTCAATGTGCCTCTGCACTTCCCCCAGAGCCTCTGCGACGGCCTTATCTAGCAGGTCCTGCGGAGGGGACTGCGCCCCTGCGAGGGGAGGAAGAGCACTGCAATTTGACCCAGCACCAGGAACTCCAGCTACCCCATGCTGATGCGTGCTCTCTGGCCACCAGTCCGCATCAAGACCGTCCACGTGGCCATGAGTAGTCATGCACTTGGTGGGAGCTATCGTGCGGCTTCCATTGCATCGCATCATGGCTCAACACGGCCGGGGGCTCTGTGTCCGGTGCTCGACATCGCTCAGCAGCAGCGCCTCCAGGGATGCGATGGTGTGCGCGGATGGCGCTCTCGCCACCGACGCATTCCACGTCAACGGATTCTCGCTGCCGCTAGTAATCGCGGTGATCTGCTGCTCTGACTCCGCGTCTGCATTGCGCGCTCCCGTCGAGCAAAATCGAATATCACTGACAGAAAACTTTCCTGCCGCGATTTTGTCGATCATCATCCCGACATTATCACCCCCTTTACAGCCCGCTTCAGAGATTATTGACCCCTCCGTCCCATATGCGCCTTCGCCTCTGTGTCCAGCAACGACCTCAGAGCTCGCGCTAGCAACCCGCCCAACGATTCTACTGTCGATATCCACCTTAGTGTACGCAGCAGCCCTTTGCGCCACAATCGCGTCACTTTCCACGGCAGCGACATCGTCCGACGCGTCGCCCTCATCAACGGAGGCATCGACGGAGTCGAGCAGCGACGACAGCGTGACGGACTCGAACTCGTGCGGGGACGACGGCAGCGACACGGACGTCGGCGCCTGCACGCCGCGCAGCCCCGCCCAGCTTGCTGCGCTTCGCCCCGGCGTCGCCCTGAAACGGGATCGAGTCGCGTTTGTACAGCCGAATCACCACCCATGTCGGCGTTCCCTGCTGCTGCTGCTGCTGCTGCTGCTGCTGCTGCTGCTGCTGCTCCGGCTGCTGCGTCTCCCGCTGCGATGGCGAAGGCATCCCCGCGCCGCGTCCTGCTGCTGCTGTTTTCCCGCCCGTCGAGTTGCTAGTACTACCACCATGCGAAGGTTCCTCGGCTCGACTAGTAGGTGCGCCGTGCGACGGGTCATCAGACGGCTCCACGAGGCGGTACTCGTGCATCACCCACGCCGTCTTCTCCCCGCGCGGCGCCCTGCCCTTGTAGAACACGTGCCCCTTCTTGTACCCCCACAATGCGCCCGCTTTTGCCACGCGTTTCCCCCACGCTGTCCGGCCCGTCGTTCCCCTCCCCCGCGCGCGAGGCGATCACGGGGCGATCCTTCCCCGTCGCCTTCCAGTAGCCGCACGACGTCATGCGGTTGGCGCGCGTGCCCATGAGGTATTTCCTATCGCGCGACGTGAAGAAGAACCATTCGTCGCTGCCGGCGAGGGATACCATCGCCTGGCCTGGCAGCTCCCAGGGCTCGAATTTGTACATGTCAATGTCGCTGATCGCGTTCAGCGGGATGGGCTGGTCAGCGATTTTGCGCGGTAAGTAAAAGGAGAGGAGTTCCTCGTCTGTGGGGTGAAACCTGAACCCGGGGGGAAGCAGGCTGTTGCTGTCTCCTGATGCAAGCGCGTCTAAGGACATTATGGCCTGTGCTGTGATCCTGGTGAGGATCGCGGGGTGTCCTTCGTCCCGGCTGATGGGATGTCTGTCCTGGGGGTATGTGCCACGAATTTCGATGCTCCCAGCCATTTGTACTGCTGGTTGGATCTCGTGAAAGCCGTGTCGCGCATTCTTTACGACGAGCCGCTATGTGCCAACGCGGTTTCACATGCGAGCTCCAGAGACGCGGTTTTGGTTTCCCTTCAGTACCAAGGCCTGCTGCTGCAAAAAACGAGCAGGATGAAAATCGTGTCAGCTTGTTGGAATAGCACAATGACTAGAACAAAAACCTCAGAACACAAACCAATCTAGCATGTAACTTCTCCATACAAATATATGTATAAGTTGACACACCCCCTAGGCTAGAGAAGGGGCAGTGCATAGCAAGGAACACGCAACTCAGGGTGGCATTACTAGTCCAACCTCTGAGACAGGGCCCTGAATACCAGTCAACAAGAGTACAAACAAGACATGAGCAAACCAGGGCGGCACTACTAGTCTGACCACTGGAAGAGAAGCCACAAGGCCAGTCTGGAAGATATATATATATATAGAGAGAGAGAGAGAGAGAGAGAGAGAGAGAGAGAGAGAGAGAGAGAGAGAGAGAGAGAGAGAGAGAGAGAGAGAGAGAGAGAGAGAGAGAGAGAGAGAGAGAGAGAGAGAGTGAGAGAGAGAGAGAGAGAGAGAGAGAGAGAGAGAGAGAGAGAGAGAGAGAGAGAGAGAGGAGTGCACAATCAAGGATCTAGCATATGAGAGTCTACAGGAACTAGACCAAGCAGCAAACAGTGCCGCTGATGATCTTTAGGCGCAAGTGCCTTAGTAAAGATATAAGTTGTGTTGGCACCGGAGGCCATGTAAACTACGCGGGCCTGGCGACGCTGCTGTGGCTCGCGCAGGAGGAAGTACCCCAGCTGGATATGCTTCGCTCTGCCCTCAAGTCGAGGCTCCTGACACATGAGGATCATGACCCTGTTGTCAGCGTACAGAATAGGGCACTGCTAGGCCGCACACCTAAGTATAAGCAAGAAGGTCAGCCAGCGGATCTCCTGTGCCGCCATGGCACTGGCGTAGATCTCGGCCTCACAGCTAGACTGGGCCACAGATGAAGAGCGAGTGGACCTCTACGAGATGGCACCCGAACTTAGGCTAAAGTAGTAGCCCTAGGAGGATCTGAGGGTCTCAGCGTCATCTGCCCAAGAAGCGTATGTGTGACCAGTAAGGACGACCGGCCTGCGTCCTCTCAGCACTAGCCCCATGCCCGATGTACTTGCTAGGTAACGCAAAACCCTCTTAGCAGCCGACCAGTGCTATGGTCGGTGTCTGCCTGTAGCCACAAAGCGAGCCAGGATGTTGAGAGGGTATGCGAGATCTGGATGAGTGCAAGTCATTAGGTAGATGAGGTAACCCACCAGCTGTACGTAAGGACCACTGGGCTCTACTAACTCCACAAGAACTACAATTGAGAGCCTGTGGTCTACTGGAAGATGTGTGGGCTGTGCGGAGGTGAACTGAAGGCCGAACCTCTGAATGACCTGGCGCACAAAGTGTGACTGTGTGAGAGTGATGGTGCACGCTGCTCTGTCCCTGGAGATCTGCCGGCCAAGGTAGCGGCGCAACTCTCCAAGGTCAATGCAGGTGTGTCTCCTTAGCAACTCAGCCTTCACGAAGGCCAGTGCATCTCTGTCTGCAGTAGCAAAGACCAAGTCCTCTACGTAGACAAGGATGCGGAACGGGGTTTTGCCAGCACGAACGAAGAGTGAGGGGTCTGCAGAGGACGGAAAAAAAATGCATGTCAGCTAGTGTAGCCCGAAGCGTGTCGTGCCACTCACGAGGAGCCTAACATAGGCCGTAGACTGGGCGACGGAGGAGCCACTGGAAAGGTACCGATGAAGGCCTGAGGATGACGCAGGTAGACCTGCTCGTGAAGGCTGCCCTGAAGAGAAGCAGTGGAGAAGTCGAGGGAGTGGAGCTCCTAGTCACGTTGTGCTCCTACGTGTAGCAGTGCCCGAAGAGTAGTCATCTTCAGGGTCGGGGCGAAGGTCTGAAAGAAGTCCACCCCCTCTCGCTGACTGAAGCCTCTAGCCACGTTGTGTGCCTTGAACACAGGCGGCTCTCTAGAAGGGCGCTTCATTTTGAAGAGCCACCGGCCATCGACTACGTTCACCCTCGGTGGGGGAACTGCGTCGACGTAGGTGCCGGTGGACCTCCAAGATGCCATCTTCTGCTCCATGAAAGCTATTCACTGTGAGGCCCGAGGTCCCGAGGTCGCTTTTGCGAAAGTGCGAGGGGTCGGGATGTCAAAGGCGTCTAGGTCACCCTCAGGGACTAGCAGCATGGAACAGAGATGGGGAGCAGCCTCCGACAGGAAGGCAAGCTCGTACTCCCTATCCTCTAGGACGTCACTACCAAGGGCAGGAGCACCCGCGACGGACGGAGGACAGACTGGGCTAGAGACCAGAGCGGTGGCGTAGTCAAGGCGGCGGGTAGAGGCGAAGTCAGCGACAGCAGCGACAAGAGCGTCAAGACTCGAGACAGGAACAGACAGGTCGGTAGCGAGGGAGGCAAGGACCCAAGGAACAAGGAAACGAGCAGCACAAAGGTAGTCAGACAGAGGTGGAGACGCGACAGTGAGCGACGACGAAGGAGGCGAAGGAAGGAGGGGAGGATGAGACGCATGGGAACAAAGCAACATATGGTGAGAACTCTGAACAAGAGAGACAAGACGAGCATGAAAGGGACGGCGAGACCAGACGTGAGATGGAGGCATTAGGTTAGGAGACAGAGGAGGAGTAACAGAAGGGGAACGAGGTGGGAAACGAGCCTCCTCGGCTAGATAAGGGGCAGTGCAGTGCAGAGCAAGGAACACGCAGCTCAGGATGGCATTACTAGTCCAACCTCTGAGACAGGGGCCTGAAGTCCAGTCAGCAAGAATACAAACAAGACATAAGCAAACCAGTGCAACTCTACTAGTCCGACCACTGGAAGAGAAGCCACAAGGCCAGTCTGGAAGGTATATATATGTATAGAGGAGTAAACAATCAAGGACCTAGCAAGTGAGAGCAAACATGAACTAGACCAAGCTGCAAACAGTGCTGCTGATGATCCTTGAGCTCAAGCGCCTTAGTAAAGATATCAGCTGTGTTGGCACCGGAGGCCAAGTGTACTACGCGGGCCTGGCGCTGCTGCTATAGCTCGCGCAGGAGGAAGTACCCCAGCTGGAGGTGCTTCGCTCTGCCCTCAAGTCTGTTGGGATAAAATCGTACTTAAGCATTTGTATATGTAGTTCCGATAGATATTGTCGAGTTGCACTATAGTTAGCATCCGTAGAATAACGTCATCCAACAGCGCTCGTCTGGATGGTTACGCCAGTAGGCTGTTTCAGTCACGCGAACAGCCGTGCTCTTTCAGTAGCGATTAGAGCGCATAGCGCAAATAGTTTTAAGCATTTTCATTACTGAACAGGTACTTCTCGCAGGTATAAGAGTAGCTCATAAGTATGACTTCAATTATTAACTTATTCTTGAGTAAATTTTGGTCAACACTTACAAGTTCTAAGACTTCCGCTATCTTACTAGTCTACTATTCCAGTAAAGTCCCTTGTTCAAGTCTTGAAGCATCACAAGGCTGTAACACGTATTCTGGTGCTACAACTTTGTTAATACTGGCTGTTACTGGAGGTACTACCAGTATTACTTTCTACTTCAAGTACTTTTGTTTGCAGATTCTATACCTAGTGTTAAAAGACTAGCTAGGAAGGAAGGGCGGCCATGAAATGGCGTGAGGGTTTAGGAGCTAGGAGAGTAAAGTTGACGAGAGAAAAGAGAGTGAACTAGAAAGAGAGAGGGATACAAGGAGGGGATTTTACCCTCTATAGAAGAGTTCGATAACCTACCAAGCCTACAAATTATATAACACAATATATGATTTAACACACCCCCTAGGCTTGGTAGTGGCAAGCCCACACACACCCACACCCCCTAACCTAGCACCCCCATTCCAAGATTCAGCCACGATGACTCCGGTGGGGCCAACCCCCACGGCCCGTGAGATGGCAATGGTGACAGCAGAGGCAGTAACGGCAGCGGCGGCGGCGTGCAGCAACAACAGGCCAGCGGCGACAGTGGCAGCTCCGGCGGCTTGAGAGTCAAAGGCAACTGCAGCGGCCCCCGCCCTCTCGGCGGCATGGCCAACCTCCGGGGCGATGGTGTCCCCCACGAGTCAGGCGTCGGCTGTGGCGAGGAGGAGGGGACGCAGGGGAAGGAGGGGGGGGGGGGGAGGGGGGAGGCGAGTCTTCAGCGACACGCCATGGATGGCACTGCCCTTACCGGCGGGACGGCGGAACGGCGGCACGGACACATGGCGGCAAGGCGAAGCCGCCACGGCACCTAGACATGGCCGCCAAGGCTAGACGTCGACGCCTCGACGGCGCGACGCCACGGCAGCGCATGGAGACGGCATCGGCACAACGCGGCCAGCGGCCCGACGACGACGGTGCGGTCACGGCTGGACGTCGACTCCATGACAGCACAACGCCACGGCAGCGCGTCGCGAAGGCTGCTGCACGACGCGGCCAGCGGCACGACGACACCGCTACAGCAGCACGACGCGGCAGCCATGGCAGTGTGCGAGGGAGAAAAGGAGTGCGCGGCGGAAGCGTGGGGAGCAGGCTCGGGAAGGGAACCGGCTCTGATACCATGTTAAAAGACTAGCTAGGAAGGAAGGGCGGCCATGAAATGGCGTGAGGGTTTAGGAGCTAGGAGCTAGGAAAGTAAAGTGGACGAGAGAAGAGAAAGTGAACTAGAAAGAGAGAGGGATACAAGGAGGGGATTGTACCCTCTATAGTAGAGTTTGATAACCTACCAAGCCTACAAATTATATAACACAATATATAATTTAACACTTAGTCCCTTGAGCCACTTTTCAAATTATTTCATGGTATGAGAGCTGTCTGGAATTAAGACTATCGTCAATTATGACTAGACCATCATCAGCTCCAACATCTGGTTCTTCAACAACTGGACATACGGGTATTACAAATCCTACAGTCTACACAGGCCAAGCAGGTGACTCTGCAGTTGGGAATTTTCCACCCGCTTATTCTTCAAACGGGATGCCTCAACAGCAGCAAGTTTTGCCTACTGTGCATCTCTCAGTGCTTGAAGGATGAACTAGAATGAGACTATACAGGGGTATATAGCTAGTGGGTTGTACTCTCTATGGCAAGACCCTATATAGTCTACAAAACGTACACAAATATGTTTGACACAACCCCTAGACAAGATAGGGGCCGAGCCTGGTGAGAGACAAATAGCTCAAGGCGGCACTACCAGTCCAACTTCTGAGGCAGGGGTCTAAAAAACAGTCAAAGGAGTACAACCAAGGCAAGAACAAGACCAGGGCAGCACTACTAGTCCAGCCACTGGGAGAAAGCCACAAGGCCAGTAAGGATAATATATAAAGAGTTATACACAATCAAGGTCCTAGCACATGAGGTGCTACAGGAACGAGTCCAAGCTGTACGCAGTGCCCCTGATGATCTTTAGGCGCAAGCGCCCTCGTAAAGATATCAGCTATGCTGGCACCAGAGGCCAAGTGTACTACGGGGGCCTGGCGACGCTGTAGTAGCTCGCGCAAAAAAGTACCGCAGCTGGATGTGCTTCGCTCTGCCCTCGAGTCTGGGCTCCTGACACAGGAGGATCATGGCCCTGTTGTCAGCGTACAGGACCGGGGCAGAGCTAGGCCGCTCACCTACGTTTGTGAGCCAGAAAGTCAGCCA